AGAAGAACAGGAGGACTTGTGGCACCTGTTCTTCTTTTTGCATATCATGATCAGTGGCAAATGGCGACACTCACTAACAGATGTGAAAGTGAGAAGGGGTGCAGATGTTGGCAGCAACCACCACCTTGTGACAGCCTCCATCAAGCTAAAACTGAGAAATGTGGGTTCACCAAACAAGGGACATAGATGTTTTGATATTGACAAGCTAAAGTCCCTTGAAATACTGAAAGCCTTCGTTCTGCAGTTAAAGAACAGGTTTCAAGCACTTGCAGACCCTGATGAAGGGGAGGGGACTGCAGATGAGGAGATCAACAAGAAATGGGACAAAGTAACAGCAATTTATAAACAGAGCAGTGAAGCCTGTCTAGGCTACAGGCAGAAGAGAAGGAAGGAGTGGATTACATCCAGCACTTGGAACGCCATAGAAACCAGACGAGCCCTGAAGAAAAAAGTTTTAGACACAAAATCCCGGAAGCTAAAGGACAAATACAACGAGCAGTATAGCAAGTCACAACGGGAGATCAAACGCCTTGTGAGAGTGGACAAACAGCATTATATTGATAACCTGACAACACAAGCAGAGGATGCAGCTGCTTGTGGTGAACAAGGAACTGTATAAAATGATGCGGCTTATCAGTGGTAAACAGCAGACACCAACAAACACTCATCAGGAACAAACAAGGACACCTACTAACAACCAAAAAAGAACAATAAATGAGCAGGACAGAGCATTTCAAAGAATTGCTGAACAGGGAGCCACCTAAAGAGGAAGCAAACATCCAGGAGGCAGAAGAAGATCTTGATATCAACACAGACACCCCAACTAAGGAAGAGATAATTCAAGCCATCAAATCCTTAAATAATGGGAAAGCATGGCAAGGATAACTTGAATGCAGAAATTGTTCAAGGTAAATCTTAAATTAGCAGCATCTATCCTGGCCCCTCCATTTAAATCAGTCTGTGAAAGGGAAAAAGTGCCAGATGAGTGGACCAATGGGGTTACAGTGAAGATACCAAAGAAAGGAACTCAGTGATTGTAATAACTGGCATGGTATCACACTTTTATCTGTGCTAAGCAAAGTATTGTGTAAGATCATAGTCCAGCGTACATCAGAGGCAGTTGATAGCATTCTCAGAAAAGAGCGAGCTGGTTTTCAGAAAGGGCGTGGATGCATAGACCAGATCTTCAGTTGGCTAGGACTCTATATTAGGAAGCAACCAACAACAACACTGCAGAGCAAAAAGCAGATAAGCAAATGGTTATAGAACTTATATAAGGATTCTTTTCCAAAGGAGTCAATCTTTACCAAAAAAAGAAAGCAAGAAAATATTATGGTAGAAAAGCCAGATGCCATGTATTGATAAGCATTTCTTTGGCGTTCATCCCTATAGTATCTGAACACCTAAATAAAAGAACTAAAAATAATTCTTATATGTTTTCTCCCAAGCATTATGTACGTACTGTAAGACTATCACAGAACAAAGCTAGGTTATGTTGCCATCTACTGGCTGAACAGAAATATAGTGGCTCTCTAAGTAAAATTTACAAACCCAAATCCAAAAATAATGCAAAGTGATCATGGTTTGGAGTTTCATTACAAAAGGCAAATTCTCCAAGAAAGGCTCACAAACAAAGGCTACAGATCCATAAGAATCTGAAGAGGAATCAACTGTATTTTCCCCCCTCCCTCTCCTGTAGCAGGACCCAGGTCCACTTGCTTTTAGCTATCGCTGGGGGTGAGGGAATGTCAGTGGCTTACAATCACTTCCTCTCACAACATCTGTTCTCGGTCTCCCAAAGAAAGTGATGGAAGCCTTTGCCTTTGGAACACTGAGAATTAGACGTGCATAAAGATTCCATTTGCTGCTGTGGATGTCAGGGAACTGGGTGTGGCTCCCTGATTCTCTGTACTAGGGACTTGGAGGTTTCCACTCCCTTTGCACCAGAAGCAGGCTGGGGTAGAAAAATCGGTCTCAAATGCTGGAAACAATCCTATATTGGTAGAGAATTGGACTGTATAACATCATAGGTTTCGTTCACTGTCTTATGAGAATCTGATTAATATTGTTTAAGTCAAACTGATTCCGTTTTAGAGCAGGTTGAAAACGGAAAACCATTTTTAGTGGGGAAAAAAAATAAAAATTGAAGTCACTTGCATTCTGCAGGTTTAGAAAGATTTTTTTAATTTCTAAAAGATTTTGTTCGGAAAAATTCTATTTTCAATTTTGGGTGGGGGGGGGTTCTTCACGCTTTTCTTAGGAGACAAAGGGTGGAAAGGAAAAAAACAAACTGAACACCTCCCCCCAAACACACTTACTTTTCATTTTCTAGTTTGTTTGGTTTTTTTGGGGGGGGGGGAAATCGAGCGACTGAAATTTTCTGAACAATTATTTTGAAACTTTAACTACGTTCTCTTTTTTTCTCTTTCCCAAACATTTTAAGGAAAGACACCAAGGGATATTTCACATTAAACTACTTTCCCTGGTGTTTTACAAATTATTTTCCTCTGAAGTTTCTCAGAGGAGGGGTGAGCAGACAAGCTATTGAATGATTGAATTGGAATAGGGGGATGTATATGTGTCTAGATTCCAGGAAACAAAAGATTAGATTCCTCAAACACCTGTAGAAGCACCAGCCCATGTAAACATAAGAAGAGTGTTTTTAGAACAAGCGAATTACATCTCCACATTCATTGGACAAATAGTTATAAGAGAGTGAGAAGCAGCCCAATATAGGGCACAATCCTGCAAAGTACTGAACATCCTCAACTCCCAGAGCAGTGATTGGGAGACAAGTTCATTATATTCATGTTCTTCTTGCTAAATGAATATTAACAGACATGAAATGCTGACTATTTTAAAATAGTAGGTAGTACACAAGCTTCCACCTTTCCGAAGACACTGAGCATCTCAGAGGATCAGGTCCTGGCTAACAGCATGAGAACCACGTTAAAATCTCTTCAGTGATTTTGCATCAAACGCAGACTGTAGAACAGTGATACTCAGACTGAGGCTCGCAAGCTGCAAGTGGCTCTTTAATGTGTCTCCTGCAGTTCTTGGCAGCATGTGATATTAAAATACTGTGTGATTTCATTATTAACCAGTCTACGTTATTAACCAATCAAGATGCTTTTACTATGTTGTTAACCATTGTAGTTGATAAAATAACAACACTTGGTCAGTCATTTTGCTGTGAGAATAAATGAAACAATGACTTTGCACTCCTGTGGCTCTTTTGGGTAATGTTGATTGCTAATTTGGCTCCTGAACCACTGAGATCTGAGCATCACTGCTATAGAACCAGAACAGCATGATAACTACTTTGTAGCATAAGCTATTTAGCATTAGGTCACAGTGTAACAGAAATCTCTGATAAAATATCTGTAATTTAGTGCCCATTTTTATTTATTTGTATATTTATATATTTGTAATATATCTTAATGAATAACATTTAGAGGGAAGTAACTAAATCTGTTTCCATGTGATTTATTTTTCATAGCTTCCCACTTTGCTGAAGCTATTTCATAAGGCTGCAACTCATTTTAATTGAAAGAGTAATCAAATATGCATATTTCCAAACCACACAACTCCAGAATTGTTCAAAAGAAGGCTAAATTTAAAGTGCATATTAATTTTTTCTATCCATTTTTGGAATAAGTGGTAGGATGAAACCTGTGTCATTAACTGGATATTAATTATGGATATTTTGAAAGATTCAGTAATGTGCTATTTCAGCATTAATATTCCCTTAAACACTAGTGTAAGACTTTATGTTCATCAGCACTTAGGTTTTTTTGTTTTGTTTTTTTAGCTAATTACAACAGCATCTACAAGCTCCAACAAAGATCAGCATCACATTGTGCCAGGTGCTGTGCACACATGCAGCATGAGACAGACTCTGCCTTTAAAAATTTACAGTCTAATAGACAAGACAGACAAAGGAAGTATTATATTCCCATATGACAGCCTGGGAATTGAGCCACAGAGAGTTTAAGTGATCACATGGCCATGATCACATAGGAAGTCTGTGACAGAGGTGAGTCCAAAGTCCTGGGGCTTGGTCCTGGAAGGTACTGAGCATTCCAGCCCTCATCCAGCAAGGCACTTAAGCAAGGAACAATCAGTTTTACACATACAAAATGGGAAATGACTGCCTAGGAAGGAGTACTGCAGAAAGGGAACTGGGGGTCATAGTGGACCACAAGCTAAATATGAGTCAACAGTGTAACACTGTTGAGAAAAAAACAAACATTATTCCGGGATGTATTAGCAGGAGTGTTGTAAGCAAGACACAAGAAGTACTTCTTCCACTTTACTCCATGCTGATTAGGCCTCAACTGGAGTATTGTGGCCAGTTCTGAGCACCACATTTCAGGAAAGATGTGGACAAATTGGAGAAAGTCCAGAGAAGAGCAACAAACATGATTAAAGGTCTAGAAAACATGATTTATGATGGAAGATTGAAAAAACTGGGTTTGCTTAGTCTGGAAAAGAGAAGACAGAGAGGGGACATGATAACAGTTTTCAAGGTACATAAAAGGTTGTTACAAGGAGGAGGGAGAAGAATTGTTTTTCTTAACTTCTGAGGATAGGACAAGAAGCAATGGGCTTAAATTGCAGCAAGGGAGGTTTAGGTTGGCTATTAGGAAAAACTTCCTAACTTTCAGGGCCGATAAGCACTGGAATAAATTGCCTACGGAGATTGTGGAATCTCCATCATTGGAGATTTTTAAGAGCAGGTTACACAAACACCTGTCAGGAATGGTCTAGATCATGGGTTCCCAAACTGGGGGGTGTGCCCCCTGGGGGGGCGTGAAGAAATTCCAAGGGAGGCGCGAGGCTGCCTGGCCCTTGAGCTCCCAGCCGAGGAGGCTAGCCCCTGTTCCCTCCCCTCCTGTCCCCCCTCCCCTGCAGGCACGCCACCGCACGAGCAGCTTGACTTGTGCCCGCCCACCTCCCAGGCTTTCCAATAAGCCAGTCCTGCTGCTCTGAGCAGCCTGGTAAGGGGGCAGGAAGCGAGGGGAGGGGGGTTGGATAAGGGGCAGGAGGTCTCGGGGGGCAGTCAGGGGACAGGGATCGGGGGGGGGTGTATGATGGTAAAGGA